AATGATACATGACATCATTTGTAAACATTGAAACATGACATCATTTGTAAACAATGAAACATGGCATCATTTGCAAACAATGCAACATGGCATCATTTGTAAACAATGAAACATGACATCATTTGTAAACAACGCAACATGACATCATTTGTAAACAAGACATCATTTGTAAACAATGCAACATGACATCATTTGTAAACAATGCAACATGACATCATTTGTAAACAAAGCAACATGGCATCATTTGTAAACAATGAAATATGACATCATCTGTAAACATGACATCATCTGTAAACAAGACATCATTTGTAAACAATGCAACATGACATCATTTGTAAACAATGAAACATGATATCATTTGTAAACAATGAAACATGACATAATTTGTAAACAATGAAACATGACATCATCTGTAAACATTGAAACATGACATAATTTGTAAACAATGATACATGACTTGAAACATGACATCATTTGTAAACAATGATACATGACATCATTTGTAAACAATGATACATGACATCATTTGTAAACAATGAAACATGACATCATTTGTAAACAATGATACATGACATCATTTGTAAACATTGAAACATGACATCATTTGTAAACAATGATACATGACATCATTTGTAAACAAGACATCATTTGTAAACAATGAAACATGACATCATCTGTAAACATTGAAACATGACATCATTTGTAAACAATGAAACATGACATCATTTGTAAACAATGATACATGACATCATTTGTAAACATTGAAACAAGACATCATTTGTAAACAATGATACATGGCATCATTTGTAAACAATGATACATGACATCATTTGTAAACAATGATACATGACATCATTTGTAAACAATGAAACATGACATCAGTTGTAAACATGACATCATTTGTAAACAATCAAACATGACATCATCTGTAAACATTATACTGCCTCGTGTTCATGTTATTGATATCACTGATAGCTTTAACAGGGAAATGAGGTAAATTAAAAAAAAAAACACATTGTTTGATACTCTGTGAAACAATCTTTAAAAAAGCTAACTTTGATATACAATATCCTGGTATATATAGTATACTATATGCTAATTTTTTTTGAGTTACTCATACCTCATTCATACAGTATTGATTTTGGTCTAATTTGTCCTCAGATATGTAGGTCATCAATACTTTTCATGCTTTGATATATCTGAATTGATTTCCCTGAGAAGTATTGAAATTTATTTTGTACTCTGAGAAATACTAAGTGGTATATAGTTAAGCTACTGTTATCTATTCTTGTGAATGATGTATCAGTTCTATTTCCTTTTCTTGTATTGCACTGGATTATCGAGTCCAATCAAAAGGGTAATTTACAATTCACCAAAGAGAGACTGATCTCGGAGCTATATATGCTTTTACCGAGACAACCGTGTCAGATATTAACTAGCCAATTACTAATTGTAAATTGACTAAATAATCACACGTGATCACATCAAAATTATATATTATAATGATAATTATATCAGGAATCACCTTGAAATAAAGCAAATAATGTCTGCAGTAGTCTACATTACATTGTATGTATGAGACTAGTTCGTAAATGAATACACTACATAATAATATGTAAATAAAATACCCTTAGAAAATGTAAACATGTTACAAGTTATGTGCAATGCAGTATTAGTGATAAAATACAAGTCAAAACTAGTTTCAACAATTTTTTTCAATTAATGAAAATAAAATTTAAAACCCAATTAATTTCCATAGCATGTTTTTGCGAAATTTCTCAACCCGGCTATTTTACACACCAACATCTGTTGGTGAACAGTATTTTGGAATAAAGACACAATAACATCAGTACATTCCTCTAGAATATCAATTCCTTATGAGTCTGTAAGATATCAATCTCTTTATGTTTATTCATATAGAAATCAAATTGCTAACATGACAGTGAAAAATATTACCTTTCATAATAATGTATTTAAAACATGAGCTATTTTTTGTGATATACTGTTTTTTCCAGAACAGTTTACAAATCACACAAAATCCAAAAATTCACACTCGAAATAAAAAATTACTCGTGAAATAGGACGAACAATTCAATAAACCCTGTCCAACATATGTATCACATTTCACATAAAATAGTTTTTCTCTCTTATATACAGTATATACATATACAGTAATTGTGGATTTCTCTATGTATGATTCTACCCTTAAACAGTCGAAAAATACATCATACTTGAGCAAAATACCATAATCTAAATGTATTATTGAGTCCATGGGGATGAAAAAGAGACAAAAAATCTTTAACATGATATAAACAAAATCTGAAACTAAGAGTGAGAAAAAAATATGTTAATGAACACCTTTGTAACTACAGAATCAACCAAGCTGGACGTAATGGCCATACGCAGTCAGAGGGATATAAACAGGTTCTCACTGAACAGCCTGTTAACACGATATACACTTCTTAGAGGATTGTTTCCCGATCAGGTGACTGCTCGCGACCAATTAAATGAATCCGAATTTCATGTACTATTTTATAAGATAAGAAATAGCATGTGTAAAAATATTAAGTAAACAATGTACAATAAAAGTCACGAAACACTTTGGTATTACGTTATTCATTCAACCATCCACGTAAAACTCGTATAAAAATAGAAGTCTGTGTATCACAAACAATGACAGAACACTGTTAAACAGGTTTATTTCCATCACATACTGGCACATCATAAAAAACATGGCACCTGTACAGTCATCAGGACATTTTCTTAGCCTCTCAACCAAACAGAACCTGCATCTTACTACTGTATATGTTTCTGCAAGACAAATATTTCACAACAACACTGCAAATATATAATAATATTGGAATGATTTTCAGTGAGTACTTCTCCACTCTTAAGAAAATGTGTACAAAATAATTTCATCAGATATTGAATTATTTAAATCTCTCTCAACCAGCTCTTAATTAATATATCATTATCATATATTGTCTAATACGCAGAGCAATCAATTTGGTCCACTTATTTTCATATTGTGAACATATCAACAAATTAACATACAGTTGAAGAAAATACAAAATGGTGGAGTGATCTAACGTTCCGTTGGTTTAGCTGGGTGATGTGTGTATTAGTAGGGGAAGCCCAAGGTGGATACTGAGGTAATAGAGCTCTACAGACAATAGGTATTAACAAGTTATATAAGGATGGAGCATCAACACCAAGGATTCCGTAGTTGTTTATAGTCATGTATATTGGTGTCCATCAAAAACAAGAGCATCTGTGAAACTGATGAATGCATCACAAAAATGATTTTATTGGACACAAAATTCATTGAAACAGCTGTATATTTGTAATCAAGAAGTGCAGGCCCTGAATTTTGTACACTGCACATTTTCTTAGTATGACCGGTGTATACACCAAGTTTTAATAACTCCTAAATTATGCAAAAGAGAGTTATGGTTCTTGTCCCTGCACTTCTCCTTATCGAGATATATCTACCTATGAAGTTTCCTCTTGTAGTTCTAGTTATATGCTCCTGACAAAATTATGATGAACGGAAGGACGGACAGACAAAGCATGCTCTCTCTTTGGGGAGCATAACAACATGTTGTCCAACAGATCCATACTTACAGTGATCAATCTACAGTTTATTTTTTTTGTTAATTTTCATCTTTATTGCTAAAAAAATGGGTCCACAATATAAAAGTATGTCCACAAATTCTGTGAGTCCCATCAAAATTCTATGAGTACAGGACCTGGGACTCCCATGTAGATTTATCAATGTATTTACAAATAATTGTGCTACAATTGACATTTTGGAAAGACAGAATGAGATATCAGAAATATTTTTTTGATAAAATTTAATGTCAATATTAAGTGATATCTTTATTCGTTATGTAGATACTTTCTGTCTGCTGATACATTCACAAATTATTTATTGTCTGCCTGAAAATATGCATATAGTGCTAAACAAATACATTTTTTTCTTGATTTCATTTTAATAAAAAATATTACAGGAACAGAATGATATGCATTTCTACAATTTTCAGAAAAACATCTCATTTGGTTTGGTTAAAAAGTGTTATTATGCAATAACGATATTCTATGTTTATATCAATGTTGAAAATCATGCACAATTTTATATCCTGCCACCCCCTTCTCCTTGATAGAAATAAATTAAAACACACCAAAGTCATTAAGTACAATGTGGTATGATGTAAATAAGTTACATCCCAACTTATAGTCAAATTTCGATATTGTAATAAGATAATCATTGTTTGTGCAACAGTTAATATTCAGTAGATCATTTATACAAATTTATACATTATGGTGAATTAGTGTGAACTTCATCAATACATGTAATAATCCAATGACACCTTTGTTTTTCTTTGATCTTTTCCTGGTGATAAATCCCATACCATGCAATGTTTCAGATATCACATATGTGATATCTAAAATATCGCATGGTTCTCTCTGATTGGTCCACACCTCATTAGGGAGGTGGTTCCCATTTCAAAGTGGGTGGGACAGATCAACAAAGACATAGGAAAGATTTTGAACAAATCTTCAATACATAAAAAAAAACAATGTGTGAAAAACAAGAGAGATTTTGTTCAATTGATATTCGTTGTTTTGACCTTAGTTAACACATTCAAACAGTTCTGTAAAAAAGTACAACGTGTCACTTATGCAAGAGCAGAGATCAGCACATGAACATTGTTGTACAATGTATAATCTTACAACATTATCTTTTAACAATACATACATTGTTGTACAATGTATAATCTTACAACAATATCTTTTAACAATATATACATTGTAACAGGTTGTACAAATTGTCTTATGTCACAGCATCACAATACTTCTACACTTTGAAGTGTCTACACATTTGCAACCTCCCTAATTTCCCAAATAAATTCCAATCCCAGACAAACATACATACATGATAGGAACATGTTTTGACACACAAGAAATGTTTCACATTATCAGGTGAAAGGCATCTCCAGTCATAGATAGATATCCTTGGTCAACATATGGGAAAAGCATGCAGCAGATTTAAAGCCGTCCCTTGTCTCTTTTTCAATGGCTATTTTACCAATAACTCCAGTCAGCACCTGTTGAAATATACCAAAACTAATTTGGTAAATACTGTCCCAGTATATGCCCAGTTTTATCATTAAAACAAGAGATCCCAGAGGGATCCTGGTGCCTACCAATATTTGATCTTTATATGCTTTTTGAAAGCTAGATATTTTCCCTTCTTCTCTCTTCTGTTTTTGGTTTTAATGATAAGACATTCGAACATTCCTTTGCAGAACTAGCAATGATAATCTTTACTTGCCAAATCCAAAATGGCCACCTAGAAGCCATTTTGTTTCTTCTGATCAGTCCCAAAAACAAACTAGCACAAGGAGGGACCAAAGGGAACAAACGTATAAAATTTGAGAGATATCCATTCAGTACTTGGTAAGAAATAGCAATACTAGACAAAATCCAAGAAGGCTGCCTAATGGCCATTTTGTTTTTCTGATCAGTCCCAAACTAAAAAAAAGGCACAACTAGGGACCAAAAGAACCCTATACATGAAATTTGAGAAAGACTTACACAGTAGTTCTCAAGAATTAGTGATAACAAACTTTCAAAGTCAAAATCCAAGATGGCCACTAGTGGGCCATTTTGTTTTTTCCGATCAATACTAAAAATCAAGCAAGCACAACTAGGGATCAAGGAAAGCATACACATGAAATTTGGAAAGATCTATGCTGTAGTTCTCAAAAAACAGAGATAAAAAACTTTTTAAAGTCAAAATTCAAGATGGCCACCTTTGGGGCATTTTGTTTTTCTGATCAGTCCCAAAATTACATGGGCACAACTAGGGGTCAAGGGGAACACTTACATATGAAATTCCAGAGATTGATTCAGAATTTCTTAAGAAATAGCAATAATAAACTTAAAATCCAAGATGGCTGTCTGTCAGCCATTTTGTTTTTTTCTGATCAGTCTAAAAATAGATGGGCACAACTAGGGACCAAAATAAACTTACATATGAAATTTTAGAAATATCTATACAGTAGTTCTCCATGAATAATGATAATAATCTTGCAAAGACAAAATCTTTTTTGATCAGACCCAAAATTGAACTGGCACAACTAGTGACCAAGGGGAACTTACTTATGGTATTTGAGAAAGATCCATTCAGTACTTCTCAAGAAATTGCAATAACAAACTTTCAAAGTCAAAATTCATAATGGCTGTCTTTCAGTCATTTTGTTTTTCTGATCACTCCCAAATTTACATAAGCACAACAGAAAAGTAAAGGGGAATTCACATACGAAATTTGAGAAAGATCCATCAAGTACTTTTCAAGAAATAGCAATAACAAACTTTAAAGATTAAAATACAAGATGGCCACCTGTTGGCCACTTTGTTTTTCTAATCAGTCCCATAATCAAATGGGGTCAAACTATGATCAAAGGCAAACCTACAATGGAAAATGGAGAGAGATCCATAGCATGCTCCTCAATAAACAGCAATAACAACTTTACTAAGCCAAATCTAAAATGGCCACCTGTTGGCCATTTTGTTTTTCTGACCAGTCTCAGAATTGCATGGGAACAATTGAAGACAAGGGGGAACCCTACAAATGAAATTTGAGATAGATTCATCCCTTATTTTTCCAAGAAATAGCAATAACAACCTTCAATAACAAAAAGCCAAGATGGCTGCCTGTCAGCCATTTTTTTTCTTCAGTCCAAAAAGCGAACAGGCACAACTAGGGATCAAACGGAACCTACATATGCAATTTGAGAAAGATCCATGCAGTACTTCTCAAGAAATAGCAACAACAAAAAATTGTTTTTTATGGATGGGCCATAGACATATAGCAATTTGAATAGCCCACCATCATCAGATGTTGGGCTAAAAATCCATAACCACATAATATGCAATAGTACAACTGCGTGAAGAAAATCCAGGAATTATACTACTGTGTAAATAGCATTGATTGAAGCATGGACTTGATGGATTATTGTGGGGTATTTCCTTTTATTAGATTTATGTGAATGTATTACAGAACTCTACTCATTCACAAAATCAAATGTCTATTAAATATTTACTTTTCGAAAAACTACAAAATTTTAACTTCATGAAATAAAATTTTACAGTACGCATTTTGAGATTATGAACTTTATACACCAGTCACTGACTGCTTCATCCATAAATACAGGTGTAAAAGTTGTATACACCAGTCACTGACTGCTTCATCCATAAATACAGGTAGAAAAGTTTTATACACCAGTCACTGACTGCTTCATCCATAAATACAGGTAGAAAAGTTTTATACACCAGTCACTGACTGCTTCATCCATAAATACAGGTGTAAAAGTTTTATAACAAATGTAATATGTAAATGATCTTATTTGTAAACATTATATAATTACAATATAAAACTCAAGTTTAAGACACAATTGATTCAGACTAAATTTATGATTACACATTTACATACCAGGTACATTCCAGAACTTTTATATACATGCACCATCCATAGATTACCTCCATTAGTGACGTGAATGGACTACGACATGTTTCCCTATTAAAATGATGGTCAGAATTGTTGTCAACAACCAATAAACAATTACCTGTAATAAGTCTTGGTCTTGATTGGACTGTTTCCATTGCTTTAGTCCATCACACAATGCTGTAATCAACCATCCACCTTCAGATACCTTTCGGTACGCTTCTCTCCCTGAAGATGAGAACAATATGGTATGTGTTTTGTTCCTGTACATTAACAATAGATTGTTAACTAATCTTTACACCTGCATCTTTGTTGTTCATTAGAAGCGCAAAAGATTCAAGCTGCAGGTAGACAAGATGTGCTCATGGCCCAACACATATACAGAACACTAAACTGATCTTATCTCATACATATGGGTACATACAAAACTACCGAGGCAGCACAATTCAATATTCTTCACCTCAAAGTATTTCTATATTAAATTCTTCAGAGCACAAACTCTCCTTTCTGTTGTTGGTAATAGTATAAACTAGAAAACTAGAACACTGACAGGTCAGCAAGGCCCTGCTATGTGGCTGGTAATCCCCCCCTCCAAGCCTACCAACCAAACCCCCACCCCTCTGTAGACATCCCCCCTTCCAGACTAACAGATCACTAGCAAGACTTTAAGTAAACCCTGCCATAAAAGTTAAAAAAGTCTGTAATAAAAAAACATGAGGTCTAGCAGCCTTGATGGTCACCTGAAATAAGCAATATTGATTATAAAGGTTAAAGGCTTGTTATCAAGTGTCATGAAACAGAAATTATGACACTGAATATAGTAAGTCAGTGTCAAGACATTAAACAAATTATGCCCAAAAATCTAGTTTTCCAATATAAACTATAGTAAACTTTACCCCCTCCCCACAGGGATACTTGAGACCCTGGGGTCATAAAATTAATGATTTTGGTAAACCACCTTAAGATGGTTCCATTCAGGAAGAGTATTTGATTCTACCATATCTGGGTCTTGAGAAGAAGATTTTTGAAATCTGAGTCAATTTGACCCCTTTTGGCCCCGCTCCTCAGACCCTTGGGGAGTGGGGACTATATAATTCATAACTTTGGTTCATCTTAGGCCAGGGAAATTTTCAATATCCTAAACAAACATTTATGGCTAAGAAGCATTGCATCAAGTCTGATTAGATTGGCTACAGAAAACTCAAGTTATTCCACAAAATAGATTGTCCATTATAGCAACAATAACCTCAACCTTTGACTTCTGGGTCTGAAAAGTGATCCCTGGCAAGCACTGTCAGTAAGAAAGCATTGTCTGAAGTTTGAGTTTGATTCCCCAAGGGAATCAAAGTTATATCACAGAAACAAATTTTCCAGCTACAGTAATCAGGACCATTGACCCTGGGAACTGAAAAGTAATCCAAAGCAAGCCGTTTTAGTAAGGAAGCTTTGTATGAGGTTTGAGTTTGATTGGCCAAAGCAAGCTGTTTTAGTAAGGAAGTATTGTATGATGTTTGAGTTTGATTGGCCAAAGCAAGCTGTTTTAGTAAGGAAGTATTGTATGATGTTTGAGTTTGATTGGCCAAAGCAAGCTGTTTTAGTAAGGAAGTATTGTATGATGTTTGATTTGATTGTGTTTTAGTAAGGAAGTATTGTATGATTTTGATTTGATGGCCAAAGCAAGCTGTTTTAGTAAGGAAGTATTGTATGATGTTTGAGTTTGATTGGCCAAAGCAAGCCGTTTTAGTAAGGAAGTATTGTATGATGTTTGAGTTTGATTGGCCAAAGCAAGCTGTTTTAGTAAGGAAGTATTGTATGATGTTTGAGTTTGATTGGCCAAAGCAAGCTGTTTTAGTAAGGAAGTATTGTATGATGTTTGAGTTTGATTGGCCAAAGCAAGCTGTTTTAGTAAGGAAGTATTGTATGATGTTTGAGTTTGATTGGCCAAAGCAAGCTGTTTTAGTAAGGAAGTATTGTATGATGTTTGAGTTTGATTGGCCAAAGCAAGCTGTTTTAGTAAGGAAGTATTGTATGATGTTTGAGTTTGATTGGCCAAAGCAAGCTGTTTTAGTAAGGAAGTATTGTATGATGTTTGAGTTTGATTGGCCAAAGCAAACTTGAGTAATCACTGGGAAACTGATTTTTAAAGCAATAGTGACCTTGACTTTTGACCTCCAAAATGGTAACACACTCCTAAATAAAATCATTCAGTAAGGTAATACTGTATGATGTTTGGGTTAGATTGGCCAAAGGAATCAAGGGGAACCTACACATGAAATTTGAGAAAGATCCTTCAGTACTTTGTAAGAAGTAGTAATAATGAACTTTACTAGACAAAATCTAAAATGGCTGTCTGTCTGCCATTTTGTTTTTCTGATCAGTCCCAAAATCAAATGAGCACAACTGGGGATGAAGGGGAATCCACATGTCAAATCTGAGAAAGATCTATGTGATAGTTCTCAATAGCGATACTAATCTTTCAGTCAAAATCCAAGGTGGCCAACTGTCGGACATTTGTTTTTTCTGATCACACATAAAAAAATATTTCCGCTATTGGGCCCAATCCCTCCCACCCCTTACATCTGTACAAGATTTATTCCCGTTAACCAAAGAATGCTGCAGACCTAATTCAGGCAAGACCAATCCATTCCCATAGCAGGAGTAGGATTTTCCAAAATTTACTCTGTTTTCCCTATTGGACCCAGCCCCTCTTGCCCAAGGGGGCTGAGACCTATTATCTATACAATATTTCACCCAAGAATGATTCAAACCAAATCTAGGCAATGTCTATTCATTCCTACTGGAGAAGTAAGTTTTTCAGGAAAATTTATTCAAACTTAGTTCCCTGCCCAAAAGAAAGCTTTAGACCAAATTTGGTCTAAATCAGTTCAGTGGTTCATGACAAGTAGCTATTTATATCATAAAGTAGCAGGATGCTGGGGTCCATCAAACCAGGTAAGCTAAAAATGAAATAAACACTAATTGACATATACTGACCTGATGCTGAAGCATGCATGACCAAACTTTCTTCAATACAATTAATGGACTGGATTTCCTGCTGTGGAATTGGCTCTGTTGTTGTATCAATGTCCAGTTTTGTTTGTCTGATGCCACCTTTTTCATGTTCCTTATCCTCATTGCCTTGTAGCTGAGTTGTCTGGTTTGATTCAAACATATTTCATTGCCAATAAAACAATTAAATGGATTGGGCACAAGTTATTACAACATTTTTTTAGCCCTCTCTACAAATTATAACAAATAAACATAATTGTCACAATACAGTTATCTGTCCTTGTTATCTGTTTGTTTTTAAGTTTACTCTCCTTATTCATAAAGGTAAAAATCTACCTAAACAATTATTTTGAAATAAATCAAAATCTACTGCTGTTTTTTTATTTTTGATGAAATGTACATTCTAAATATTACCACATTAAGGTTTAAGGGAAAGTTACTGTTTCCACAGAGAAGGATATTAAGTGTATGATCTATATTGCCATCCAGTGGATTTAGGCTTTAAAATATATTCGCCTCTGATGACCAATGTTTGTTCAGTCGAAAAAGAAGTAAGTAGCATTCTCACGTTATCATTTGTCTGGTTGATTTTCTTAAAATAAAGAAACTTTATGAACATGCATTCTGTCACTCTGTATTTTTCAAACCTCTAACTATCTACCAATTATAACAGTTTATTTTGAGATTTTTAAACATCACTGGTGGCCCAATGGGACTGTTTTCCTTGCATGTTATAATATAAATCAGTTGGTCACTTTAATTTTTTTAATTTCATTAAAATAGAAAGTCTTCACTGATTGGAAAATGGTACTTTTTCATTAATTGATATCTTAAACTTATGATATGAACTTTTTCCATGAAACCAATCAATTTTATCTAAGTTGTTCATTAAATATTGGGTCGTGCCCTACGGAGCCAAGCCCTAACGTTTACACAAGATTTATTCATCTTCCCCCAAGAATGCTTCAGACCAAATTTGGGCAACTATTTTCTTTCTACAGTAGGATTTTCAAAATTCACTTTTTTTGGTCCTGCCCCTCAACTTCTGGCTGAGAACCAATATTTATACAAACTTGGCTTCCATTCCTCCAAGGATGCTTCTGACCAAACTTGGTCAAAATCTGTTCAGTCGTTCATGAAAAGTAGCAATTTTTAGTAAGAAGTTGATGAACGCCAGATGCCAGACAGATGACTGACACCCCTCCTTGGCATAAGCTCACTGGTCCTTTGGACTGAGTAAGCTAAACAGTACCTGGTTCACAAGTTAAAGTAATCTTCCTTTAAGGTATTTTTAATCCTCAGGATTGCAAGTCTTTAAAATTCAGCTGTTGGGAGCCACATTATATCTGATCTATTTGTCCAGCGATTGTTTGATGACAAAAAGTAGTTGTTTTAATGTAAAAATAATTGCTACAATGTTACAATGATGACAGGCATATATCAATGCCATCAGAACAGACTTACTATAGATTTTGGCAGTCTCATTCTGGCATCAGAAATGTCCTCATTTATTTTAACAGCATCAATCCTGTTGGCCATGTCATTTTCTTCTGCTTCTGGATTTCTGTCAGCTTTAACATATTAGAAAGCAAAGCACATCTCACATAAAAACTGCAATGGTTAAAGGGAAAGACTTTTTAACTGAAGATTAATGGAAATGTATAAAAAAACAAGAGTTCCTCAGAACTGTATGTGTCGCCTGCATAAAGTGTCACGGTCACCCAGAACTGTATGTGTCGCCTGCATAAAGTGTCACGGTCACCCAGAACTGTATGTGTGGCCTGCATAAAGTGTCACGGTCACCCAGAACTGTATGTGTCGCCTGCATAAAGTGTCACGGTCACCCAGAACTGTATGTGTCGCCTGTATGTGTCGCCTGCATGAAGTGTCGTGGTCATGCAGAACTGTATGTGTCGCCTGCATAAAGTGTCACGGTCACCCAGAACTGTATGTGTCGCCTGCATAAAGTGTCATGGTCACCCAGAACTGTATGTGTCGCCTGCATAAAGTGTCATGGTCATCCAGAACTGTATGTGTCGCCTGCATTAAGTGTCACGGTCACCCAGAACTGTATGTGTCGCCTGCATAAAGTGTCACGGTCACCCAGAACTGTATGTGTCGCCTGCATAAAGTGTCACGGTCACCCAGAACTGTATGTGTCGCCTGCATAAAGTGTCACGGTCACCCAGAACTGTATGTGTCGCCTGCATAAAGTGTCACGGTCACCCAGAACTGTATGTGTCGCCTGCATAAAGTGTCACGGTCACCCAGAACTGTATGTGTCGCCTGCATTAAGTGTCATGGTCACCCAGAACTGTATGTGTCGCCTGCATTAAGTGTCATGGTCACCCAGAACTGTATGTGTCGCCTGCATAAAGTGTCATGGTCACCCAGAACTGTATGTGTCGCCTGCATAAAGTGTCACGGTCACCCAGAACTGTATGTGTCGCCTGCATTAAGTGTCACGGTCACCCAGAACTGTATGTGTCGCCTGCATAAAGTGTCACGGTCACCCAGAACTGTATGTGTCGCCTGCATAAAGTGTCACGGTCACCCAGAACTGTATGTGTCGCCTGCATAAAGTGTCACGGTCACCCAGAACTGTATGTGTCGCCTGCATTAAGTGTCATGGTCACCCAGAAACTGAACTGGATGTTGAAACTAATCTGTTTCCTTCCAACAAGAAGCCATATACCAAATTTGATTTCTATAACTCAAAGCATAACCAGAAAGTCCAGAAAACAATATTCCCAGAGAATTTTCTAAGTTCAAAGGGGCATAACTCTGTCAAGAAGGGATACAGACAGCCAGGAATCAAACTTAATCTGTACCCTTCCAACAAGAAGCCATTTACTAATCTCTGGAGGTGACACTATAAAACAATAAACATTATCCTATTCTTATTAGAACTATATTACTATGACCAATATTTCTGCTTCATCAAAATCAGGACAAAGAAACAGCACAAATTACATGAAGAAAACAAAGGAAATAACTTGTGTGATAGTATGTTAACAGCTATACACCCGTGACAAATACCTTCTATGTAGTCCACATCTTAACATTCTACAAAATGCATTATCAAGTGCTCTATTTTAAAGTGCCATCACAATGAAATGCAATAAACTAAACAAAGTTGAACAATATGTTATTGGTAACAAGAAACCACTGAACTGTGAAAGCTGAACATATCTGAAAATTACACTTACGTGCAACAGAAATTGGTACACCCCTGTCCACAATCTCATCCTTTGAAGCATTGACTCCACCGCGGCATGCCTATAAAACACACAATATTACTGTGGAGTGACAAGACTATAAAACACGTAAAATAACTGTGGAGTGACAAGACTATAAAACACGTAAAATAACTGTGGAGTGACAAGACTATAAAACACGTAAAATAACTGTGGAGTGACAAGACTATAAAACACATAATATTACTGTGGAGTGACAAGACTATAAAACACACAATATTACTGTGGAGTGACAAGACTATAAAACACACAATATTACTGTGGAGTGACAAGACTATAAAACACACAATATTACTGTGGAGTGACAAGACTATAAAACACACAATATTACTGTGGAGTGACAAGACTATAAAACACATATTACTGTGGAGTGACAAGACTATAAAACACGTAAAATAACTGTGGAGTGACAAGACTATAAAACACGTAATATTACTGTGGAGTGACAAGACTATAAAACACACAATATTACTGTGGAGTGACAAGACTATAAAACACACAATATTACTGTGGAGTGACAAGACTATAAAACACATAATATTACTGTGGAGTGACAAGACTATAAAACACACAATATTACTGTGGAGTGACAAGACTATAAAACACACAATATTACTGTGGAGTGACAAGACTATAAAACACACAATATTACTGTGGAGTGACAAGACTATAAAACACATAATATTACTGTGGAGTGACAAGACTATAAAACACATAATATTACTGTGGAGTGACAAGACTATAAAACACACAATATTACTGTGGAGTGACAAGACTATAAAACACACAATATTACTGTGGAGTGACAAGACTATAAAACACGTAAAATAACTGTGGAGTGACAAGACTATAAAACACGTAAAACACAAGACTAATATTAACTGTGGAGTGACAAGACTATAAAACACACAATATTACTGTGGAGTGACAAGACTATAAAACACACAATATTACTGTGGAGTGACAAGACTATAAAACACAAAATATTACTGTGGAGTGACAAGACTATAAAACACACAATATTACTGTGGTGTGACAAGACTATAAAACACATAATATTACTGTGGAGTGACAAGACTATAAAACACACAATATTACTGTGGAGTGACAAGACTATAAAAGACATATTACTGTGGAGTGACAAGACTATAAAACACGTAAAATAACTGTGGAGTGACAAGACTATAAAACACATAATATTACTGTGGAGTGACAAGACTATAAAACACACAATATTACTGTGGAGTGACAAGACTATAAAACACACAATATTACTGTGGAGTGACAAGACTATAAAACACACAATATTACTGTGGAGTGACAAGACTATAAAACACACAATATTACTGTGGAGTGACAAGACTATAAAACACACAATATTACTGTGGACTGTGGAGTGACAAGACTATAAAACACACAATATTACTGTGGAGTGACAAGACTATAAAACACACAATATTACTGTGGAGTGACAAGACTATAAAACACACAATATTACTGTGGAGTGACAAGACTATAAAACACATAATAACTGTGGAACAAGACTATAAAACTGTGGAGTGACAAGACTATAAAACACACAATATTACTGTGGAGTGACAAGACTATAAAACACACAATATTACTGTGGAGTGACAAGACTATAAAACACACAATATTACTGTGGAGTGACAAGACTATAAAACACACAATATTACTGTGGAGTGACAAGACTATAAAACACGTAAAATAACTGTGGAGTGACAAGACTATAAAACACATATTACTGTGGAGTGACAAGACTATAAAACACGTAAAATAACTGTGGAGTGACAAGACTATAAAACACGTAAAATAACTGTGGAGTGACAAGACTATAAAACACATAATATTACTGTGGAGTGACAAGACTATAAAACACGTAAAATAACTGTGGAGTGACAAGACTATAAAACACGTAAAATAACTGTGGAGTGACAAGACTATAAAACACACTGTGGAGTGACAAGACTATAAAACACACAATACTGTGGAGTGACAAGACTATAAAACACATAATATTACTGTGGAGTGACAAGACTATAAAACACATAATATCACTGTGGAGTGACAAGACTATAAAACACATAATATTACTGTGGAGTGACAAGACTATAAAACACATAATATTACTGTGGTGTGACAAGACTATAAAACACAAAATAACTGTGGAGTGACAAGACTATAAAACACATAAAATGTGGAGTGACAAGACTATAAAACACACAATATTACTGTGGAGTGACAAGACTATAAAACACACAACGTATTACTGTGGAGTGACAAGACTATAAAACACATAATATTACTGTGGAGTGACAAGACTATAAAACACACAATATTACTGTGGAGTGACAAGACTATAAAACACACAATATTACTGTGGAGTGACAAGACTATAAAACACACAATATTACTGTGGAGTGACAAGACTATAAAACAAGAAGATTAGAGTGTGACGATGACTACACGGTCACCTTCATCAGACAAATGACCAGTGTGGAGTGTACTAACACTGACGTACGTAGTGTACGAGATCTACACAGTCACCTTCATCAGACAAATGACCAGCGTGGAGTGTACTAACACTGACGTACGTAGTGTACGAGATCTACACAGTCACCTTCATCAGACAAATGACCAGTGTGGAGTGTACTAACACTGACATAGGTAGTGTACGAGATCTACACAGTCACCTTCATCAGACAAATGACCAGTGTGGAGTGTACTAACTAACACTGACGTACGTAGTGTACGAGATCTACAGTCACCTTCATCAGACAAATGACCAGTGTGGAGTGTACTAACACTGACATATGTAGTGTACGAGATCTACACGGTCACCTTCATCAGACAAGTGTGGAGCGTACTAGCACTGTTGTAAGTAGTGTATGAGATCTACACAGTCACCTTCATCAGACAAGTGTGGAGCGTACTAGCACTGTTGTAAGTAGTGTATGAGATGGTACGGAATCTACTTTTCGGCTGCAGAATAATCCGATGTACACTATGGTCGATAATAGTGTGTCAAGATGACAAACAGATGGGCAAAAAAATACACCAGATGGTAACGATGTGAACTACATTATTTATTTCCAATAGAAAATCCACAAATAATGTTCATAAATGTGATTTTCCTATATAAACTATAGTAAAATTTATCCCTCCACAGAGGAAAATGTGACACCACGGAGTCGTGAAATTTACAATTCTGGTAAAGCATCTGAGGGCCTTTCTTTCCATGAAGAGTACCTGGGATTTGAGAAGATTTTTTACGTTTCAATCAAATTGACCCTTTTTGGCCCACTTCCTCAGGCTATTGGGGGTTGGGGACTATTAATTCACACTTTTGGTGTACGTTTAACCATGGAAGGATTTTGTAAAATTTCATTGAAATTGAAAATTTTCACCTTTAATTAATAAGACTTTATGATTGGATAAAGAAATTTTCACCTTTAATTATCAAGACTTTATGCTTAGAGAAACTTTCAACTTTGATTATTAAGACTATGTTTTGAGAAATATTCATATTTGATTTTTAAGATTATGCTAAGAGAAATTTTCATCTTTGATTTTTAAGACTTTATGCTTGAAGAGAAATATTCATCTTTGATTATTAAGATTATGCAAAGAGAAATTTTCATTAAGACTTCTGCTTCAAGGATATTTTTCATAATAAAACAAGGGTGTTGCTGTGCAATTTTCACTGAAACATCCAGTTTTTCCAAGATCAAGAAACAAGATGAAATATTTGCTTTCAGGTCCTTAACCCTAGAGAAAACAGTCCATAAAGCTTGAACAAAATTAACATATATGATTTGTGGGGAAAATTCTGAATGAATTGAAAGTATGTGATTTGTGGGGAAAATTCTGGACGAATTAAAAGTATGTGATTTGTGGGGAAAATTCTGAACGAATTAAAAGTATGTGATTTGTGGGGAAAATTCTGAACGAATTGAAAGTATGTGATTTGTGGGGAAAATTCTGAACGAATTAAAAGTATGTGATTTGTGGGGAAAATTCTGAACGAATTGAAAGTATGTGATTTGTGGGGAAAATTCTGGACGAATTGAAAGTATGTGATTTGTGGGGAAAATTCTGGACGAATTGAAAGTATGTGATTTGTGGGGAAAATTCTGGACGAATTGAAAGTATGTGATTTGTGAGGAAACTTCTTGACGAATTCAAAGTATGTGATTTGTGGGGAAAATTCTGGACGTATTGAAAGTATGTGATTTGTGGGGAAAATTCCTCCTGTAAGAATTAGATAAAATCTACCCAAGACCTCTCAAGTTATGGGTAAGAGAAGTATCTATGTATCGAGAAAACATTGAAATTGTTGATACTATTAACTAAATTACGTTGTCAACTTTGCTGTCAAAAGATGAAGTTCACAAGCAAAATTATTCAAATGTCATATAAAGCATCCTATTTCCATTTATAAGTACAGGTGCAATACTAAAGAGTGTTTATAATAGAACAGTACATTAGAATTCCTTACAAATATTTATCATCTTGTGATACAGTCAAATCATTACCGACAAATTTTCAAACATGAATAACAAGACTTTAAATTACAAACTTACTTGTATAAAGAAAAGCTTAGGAATGGCTTTTAATTTTCTTCTCTCATCAAACATTTTCAAAAGATCATCTGTATAAAAAAATGTGTCTTCCAGTAAGATGCGATGACGAAGAATATTTCTCTCCTTATTTTGTTCTGTTACTTCCTCACCGTGTGAGCCTATCACCACAACAATGATATGTGCTTCTTCTGCCTCTTTCAATACTGGAAAGTATCAATATATCTATTAGTTCATACATACCTATACATATGATACAAGTCCTCCCATTTCTGTAAATAATTTCTTGTAATACTTCAATGCATTGCAGGTAACAATTAAGTTTTTATAATACATATATATATATATTAAAAACTATTGTAAATAGTTAATATATGGCTTGGATAATTTGCATTTTTCATGATATATTTTGTCAATTAAAATGTTTAATATATGATGTTAAAGGGATATTTTGTACAAGGTATTATTTCATATGATGCTTTTTATTCAACAAGAGGCATAGTGGTGTTGATGGTCCCCTGAGATAAGCAATTTTGATTATAAAGGTAAAAGGGTTAGTAGCTTTCAAGTTTCATGAAAAAAAAAATTGTGAAATTGATGACAGTAAGCCAATGTCAAAACATGCACACCATCAAAACTGTCCCTAATACTAATAACTTATACAAAGTTATTTCATTAAACCTATGTATTTACCCAATAAACCTATGTATTTACCCAATTAACCAGTGTATTTACCCAATAAACCTATGTATTTACCCAATAAACCTATGTATTTACCCAATAAACCTGTGTATTTACCCAATAAACCTGTGTATTTACCCAATAAACCTGTGTATTTACCCAATAAACCTGTGTATTTACCCAATTAACCAGTGTATTTACCCAATAAACCTGTGTATTTACCCAATAAACCAGTGTATTTACCCAATAAACCTGTGTATTTACCCAATAAACCTATGTATTTACCCAATAAACCAGTGTATTTACCCAATAAACCTGTGTATTTACCCAATTAACCAGTGTATTTACCCAATAAACCTATGTATTTACCCAATAAATCTGTGTATTTACCCAATAAACCTGTGTATTTACCCAATAAACCTGTGTATTTACCCAATAAACCAGTGTATTTACCCAATAAACCTGTGTATTTACCCAATTAACCAGTGTATTTACCCAATAAACCTGTGTATTTACCCAATAAACCTGTGTATTTACCCAATAAACCTATGTATTTACCCAATAAACCTGTGTATTTACCCAATAAACCTATGTATTTACCCAATAAACCAGTGTATTTACCCAATAAACCAGTGTATTTACCCAATAAACCTGTGTATTTACCCAATAAACCTATGTATTTACCCAATTAACCAGTGTATTTACCCAATAAACCTGTGTATTTACCCAATAAACCTGTGTATTTACCCAATAAACCTGTGTATTTACCGAATTAACCAGTGTATTTACCCAATAAACCTATGTATTTCCCCAATAAACCTGTGTATTTACCCAATAAACCAGTGTATTTACCCAATAAACCTGTGTATTTACCCAATTAACCAGTGTATTTACCCAATTAACCAGTGTATTTACCCAATAAACCAGTGTATTTACCCAATTAACCAGTGTATTTACCCAATAAACCTGTGTATTTACCCAATAAACCTATGTATTTACCCAATAAACCGGTGTATTTACCCAATAAACCAGTGTATTTACCCAATAAACCTATGTATTTACCGAATAAACCAGTGTATTTACCCAATAAACCTATGTATTTACCCAATAAACCAGTGTATTTACCCAATAAACCTGTGTATTTACCCAATAAACCTATGTATTTACCCAATAAACCTATGTATTTACCCAATAAACCTGTGTATTTACCCAATAAACCTGTGTATTTACCCAATAAACCTGTGTATTTACCCAATAAACCTATGTATTTACCCAATAAACCTATGTATTTACCCAATAAACCAGTGTATTTACCCAATAAACCTGTGTATTTACCCAATAAACCTATGTATTTACCCAATAAACCTGTGTATTTACCCAATAAACCTATGTATTTACCCAATAAACCTATGTATTTACCCAATAAACCAGTGTATTTACCCAATTAACCTATGTATTTACCCAATAAACCTATGTATTTACCCAATAAACCAGTGTATTCATCCAATAAACCTGTGTATTTACCCAATAAACCTATGTATTTACCCAATAAACCTATGTATTTACCCAAGACTTTGCTTCAAATCTATGATCAAGTTATTCACTTAGTTAAGGATTCCCCAACATGCTATATTTAGGCAGTCTAATTTTAAACTGGTAGGGGTTTTTCCCACTGATTTCACCTTACCAAACTGACCTTAGGAAAGTGTAGTTTTATCAGCCATTTAAAGGCATTCTAAAAAGTCAGAAATTTCCTTTTCCATTGGAATGTTTGTTTCAAGTGAGGAAAATGATGAATTGTCCTGTCGTATAGACACACAATTAAAGTTAAGAAAATTTGAATATGTCATTCCGATTTACTCAACATTTAGCTTTCACCTAATGACAGCACAGATGTTTAATCTAGTATAATTTGAAGTGAACTGAAAATGATTTTGCCACCATGTCTAGGTAATGATATCTCAGTGAGATGACACTATTAAATGAACATTGACATCAACCCTGTCTGACCCCATCAATCTTGACTGACCCCATCTGTCTTGACTGACCCCACAAACCCTGACTGACCCCATAAACCTTGACTGACTCCATCCACCCTGCTTGACCCCATCAATCTTGACTGACCCCATCTGTCTTGACTGACCCCATAAACCCTAACTGACCCCACAAACCCTGACTAACCCCACAAACCCTGACTGACCCCATAAACCTTGACTGACCCCATAAACCCTAACTGACCCCACAAACCCTGACTGAACCCATAAACCTTGACTGACTCCATCCACCCTGCTTGACCCCATCAATCTTGACTGACTCCATCTGCCCTACTTGACTCCATAAACCCTAACTGACCCCAAAACCTTGACTGATCCCATAAACCTTGACTGACCCTATCCACCCTGACTGACCCCACAAACCCTGACTGACCCCATAAACCTTGACTGACTCCATCCACCCTGCTTGACCCCATCAATCTTGACTGACCCCATCTGTCTTGGCTGACCCCATAAACCCTGACTGACCCCATAAACCCTGACTGACCCCATAAACCCTGACTGACCCCACAAACCCTAACTGACCCCATAAACCCTAACTGACCCCACAAACCCTGACTGACCCCATAAACCTTGACTGACTCCATCCAACCTGCTTGACCCCATCAACCTTGACTGACTCCATGTGCCCTACTTGACCCCATAAACCCTAACTGACCCCAAAACCTTGACTGATCCCATAAACCTTGACTGACCCCATCCACCCTGACTGACCCCATAAACCTTGACTGACCCTATGAACCTTGACTGACCTCCATAAGCCCTGACTGACCCCATAAACCTTGACTGACTCCATCCACCCTGCTTGACCCCATCAATCTTGACTGACCCCATCTGTATTGACTGACCCCATAACCCTAACTGACCCAACAAACCCTGACTGACCCCATAAACCTTGACTGACTCCATCCACCCTGCTTGACCCCATCAATCTTGACTGACCCCATCTGTCTTGACTGACTCCATAAACTCTGACTGACCCCACAAACCCTGACTGACACCATAAACCTTGACTGACCCCATAAACCCTAACTGACCCCACAAACCCTGACTGAACCCATAAACCTTGACTGACTCCATCCACCCTGCTTGACCCCATCAATCTTGACTGACTCCATCTGCCCTACTTGACTCCATAAACCCTAACTGACCCCAAAACCTTGACTGATCCCATAAACCTTGACTGACCCTATCCACCCTGACTGACCCCACAAACCCTGACTGACCCCATAAACCTTGACTGACTCCATCCACCCTGCTTGACCCCATCAATCTTGACTGACCCCATCTGTCTTGACTGACCCCATAAACCCTGACTGACCCCATAAACCCTGACTGACCCCACAAACCCTAACTGACCCCATAAACCCTAACTGACCCCACAAACCCTGACTGACCCCATAAACCTTGACTGACTCCATCCACCCTGCTTGACCCCATCAACCTTGACTGACTCCATGTGCCCTACTTGACCCCATAAACCCTAACTGACCCCAAAACCTTGATTGATCCCATAAACCTTGACTCACCCCATCAACCCTGACTGACCCCATAAACCTTGACTGACCCTATGAACCTTGACTGACCTCCATAAGCCCTGACTGACCCCATAAACCTTGACTGACTCCATCCACCCTGCTTGACCCCATCAATCTTGACTGACCCCATCTGTATTGACTGACCCCATAACCCTAACTGACCCCACAAACCCTGACTGACCCCATAAACCTTGACTGACTCCATCCACCCTGCTTGACCCCATCAATCTTGACTGACCCCATCTGTCTTGACTGACCCCATAAACCATAACTGACCCCATAAACCCTGACTGACTCCATCCACCCTGCTTGACCCCATCAATCTTGACTGACTCCATCTGCCCTACTTGACTCCATAAACCCTAACTGACCCCAAAACCTTGACTGATCCCATAAACCTTGACTGACCCTATCCACCCTGACTGACCCCACAAACCCTGACTGACCCCATAAACCTTGACTGACTCCATCCACCCTGCTTGACCCCATCAATCTTGACTGACCCCATCTGTCTTGACTGACCCCATAAACCCTGACTGACCCCATAAACCCTGACTGACCCCACAAACCCTAACTGACCCCATAAACCCTAACTGACCCCACAAACCCTGACTGACCCCATAAACCCTGACTGACCCCACAAACCCTAAATGACCCCATAAACCCTAACTGACCCCACAAACCCTGACTGACCCCATAAACCTTGACTGACTCCATCCAACCTGCTTGACCCCATCAACCTTGACTGACTCCATGTGCCCTACTTGACCCCATAAACCCTAACTGACCCCAAAACCTTGACAGATCCCATAAACCTTGACTCACCCCATCCACCCTGACTGACCCCATAAACCTTGACTGACCCTATGAACCTTGACTGACCTCCATAAGCCCTGACTGAGACCATAAACCCTGACTGACCCAATAAACCTT